CTGATAATATTAAAGACTAAACTTATTCGGCCGGGCAAGAAAAATCAGGTACGACTAAAAAAACCCGTATGAAACAAGATTCGAAAACATAATTGAGGACTATGGTTAAGGGATTTTACTGATTTTATTCGAGTTACATGCATCTTTTGTTAAATATTTTAATTGCGTTGCAGGCATAATGTTTTGCTGTTGCGTTGCGGTGTATATCAAAAAGCACCTAATTAACACCTAAAATGTACCTATGTAATATTGTCATTTGACTTTGCGTTGCTAACGTGACAGAATTCGGGAAAGCGCGTCTCGCGTCCTAACGTGTTCTTTGGCTCCTTCTACGGCGGTGGCAGGCGCGTGGAGTTCCGGTTCACCCTCTGTGAAACAAGGTCGGTGCCGCCTGGAGCATGTAGATAAATGTCATAAACAAGAGGTAGACCTATATTCGATTACTGTTTGCAGATAGTTAAGGATGTGGGATGTTTTAGTTTAAGGAAAATGCCAAGATTAGCCCAGGATAGGAAAGAGCGGAAATGCGTGTCCAACTAGTTTTAGGACTGACGACCTTATGATGATGATGATGAAGTATAGGTAAGTTGGTGCCCCTTCTTTAATGGATGGTTCAAGTGTAAATTGTATTACTATCATAATAACTGTTATTACTACCTCGTCGCATTTTTGGACAGATGGCGTATTTTGAGGACTAAGATATGTTTGTTACCTAGACATTAGTTACAGTAATGAATTGTACAGAAGCCGTTACGCAAAATACCTCACGCATCAAGGGTAATGGGCGTACATAGTGGGGTAAAATTCAAAATTTCTGGAAAAAACTGTCGTCACGAAATGACAACGCATTCTACACTCACGGGTTTTTGTACTCTCTAGTCACGAATATGAACACAAACGTAAGAGTTTTTGGGTCGCTATTAACTCAAAAAAAATAATAAATCCGAAAATGAAGGACTGTTAAACAAATTCGCGTTTTTTACGTGAATCAGACTTAAGTATGTTTCTCAGTTTCGTCTTAGTACGAAAACACCTCTGAACCTATTTGACGTTACCGAGTTTCTCGTACTGTTTCTGTAAGTATATAAAACATTTGCATCTCACGGAACCACAACTATTTTCTTGCACATTTCCATATATGTACTATATGTATGAACAGGAATATGGAGTGGTCACATTCGAACACTTTCAACAATAATTTATGTAACAATCTCTCCAATGCGCCTGTAAATTTTATACATATCTCCGGAATCATCCTCCATTCCACAGAATTATGCTCCGGCACTTATTCACTTATTTATGGATATCGTACATACATATTTCGCGTAAGAAAGTGGTTCTAGTTCCGATCGCAACCGTCGTATTTTTCCGAATTAAGTACACCAATACCATCTAAACAAGATTCAGTCTTAGTATAGAGATTCTATACAGCAGGTTCATTCCTTTGATCTGCCTAAAACACTGACTTTTTTGCAGGCCTTCATAAATTAATTTTACGTGCGCTGAATTGCCATATACGAGGACGAAATGTTTAAATTTTTTTTACTGTGTCTTCTCTGTATAACCTACCTTGTGCTTAGCGAGAAACTCGTTGATGAAATGGTAAAGCGTCGGCAGGAGAGGGATGTATAGGCGTGGCTGGGAAGTGAACCTACTGTATACAATTTTTTTACTGTGATTCAGTAATAATTTACCTATGTCAAATGGTAACATTTGATTTTCGATTTCTGTCCAAAAATTTGTAATTTTGTCGGGCGTATAACTGACCTACCATGATAAGATTAGGTATATGAGAATATGGAAGATAATCAGATGCTTTATTTCATTCAATCTTAACATTTATAATTTATATCTATAAATAAATTATTTACACGTAACACTTAACATTTACCACCAATGTACATTATTTATGTATGTAAACCCCAAATTGTTCCCAGTAAATTTTTTTGTAAACCCGGGTGGTTTGTGTAACTACTTATTTTCCCATTTCTGTTTTATGAATATTGGAAATACTGCAGTAAGTTGGATTACATTTACTGCATTTATTGCCGAAAAAGTGTACGGAGATGTGATTGATTTAAATTATTTGCATTTAAAATGCAAATACAAAATAAAAAATATCAATTCTTGTATTTCATTTAAATACTTTTTTGAAAGAAGCATTTTTTATTTTATTTATAATATTTTTCCAAACATATTTTGTATTTGTAAAATGCAAAATACATTTTTGCCGTTAAAACTTTTGCTAGTATCACCCATCAAACATTACATAAAATGATGAAAGTTGACACACATTGACCATTAAAGGTATTAGAGTTTGCAGTTCTTAACTAATATCAGTATCTGCCACATATCGTACTTTTAGCAAGGAACTACGAAATTCTGTAAATTACGACAAAACAGCTCGCAAAACAATCTCGAATTGATGTACACCAGCTGTATAAAACTGAAAAATACAAGATATTGAGGTATTCTAATAAATGCGTATAATCGAAAATTCTTAAAACGATTCAAAAAACTTCACTCATTAGATGAAACCAAAGCTAATGAAACTATGGATTCCATTTCTTTCTCTTATTACACTGTGTAAAAGACCAGAAACAAAATGAGGTTCTAAATATTTTGATATGAATTGATTGATGTTGATATGACATCAGTAAAATTATTTGCAACCCTATTTTGACTCTGATCTTTCACGTTAAACAAACTATTTTGACATCAGTGTCTTTTTTCCAATTNTGGGTTTAACAAAATTAACTTCTAAGCCTGATAACGACAAAAACTATTTATTTACATTAATTATTAAAGAACTTCGAAACACTATTAAATTATTACTAAACTTAGGTTATGAATTATTCTATTTATTTACACTACTGTTGATATATAACTATTCACTGCGTTATTTATTTCACTGCTATCATTGTCAATTTATTTCTGGATTCACTTTTGCAACGGTCAATTTATTTCATCTTTTCTCGGCGATTGTTTCTTCCTTTAAATACTCTTTTGTTTACTTTCTGGAACCCTCTAGAAACATCCGGATCGTTTATTTATTTTTTTGAACTGTTTAATTGCTTTCCAGGAACGCAGGTAAGACACACATATTTACAAATACGACGGACATGAAGAAAGGCGCCTGCGGTTAGTCGGCGGATCGATAAACGCTCACACACACATTTGCTCGATCGCACACAAACACGCTCGTGCTCGCACATTAACGGTTTCTACACTTTCAACGACGACTTCACATGCCTAAAAGTATCACTGTAAATTTACTGTTAACTCTTCCCTAAAAAAAATTCTTTTTGGTGTTTTATTCTCACCAAGTACCAATGCTAGTGAGCGGGCAGTATTTTCAGACTAGGCCGGAGGGTGGGGCGGAAGGCTTTCCTTAACCTCCTTTTTTAGGAATCGTGAGAATGGTTGGATGGTGGTGAGAGTGTGAAAGATGAGAAGAATGAGATGAAGACAAAAGAGAGTGAAATTTTATATTACTGTCTCAGTTCACTTCAGTCCTTGAAGAAGGTAACTTTGTTACCGAAAAGTGCTTCGGATAACTACAGTGTCGTGTTCTGGCGTTGTATTCTGTTTGTTCTACAACAACCGCCAAAGTTTTTCTAATCTTTATAATACTGTCTCAGTATTTGCTTAACTCCCAGTATGTTCCTTTCGGATACAAAAATGACGCCGTCAATATCGATTGTCTGCGGCATTCGTTAATTACAGTACATACTGCTCATTTGAAGTAGTTCTTTCATTTAGCTAGATGCGCACTGACAAAATTCCAAAATTATATCATATTTTTTCTAGTTCAAACTATTTCTGAATTGCTCACGCCTTGTGTGTATTGTTTATATTCGTGCAGCTTTCCTCAAGGTCACATCTATAACTGTTTGAAACGAGTTGTGGTATCTAGTCATTTGCAGATATTTCATCATAATTATTGATCAATCAAATACAATCATTTTAATACTTTACGGATCATAGTGGACGGCGATAAGTGGTTTCAATTTATATATGAATTTACATTTGTATTGTGAAATAAAAAAAATATTGAATATGTATGTAGTTTGCGCTTTTGAAAAGATACAAAAAGAAGGTTGACCGTCTGCTATACGATACGATCTATCCAGTCGATGATAAAATATTAAATATATTTAGCTCTTTAGGTGGATAAAACGTATGATGTATGTACCTCAACTCTGGAAGAATGATTGAAAGTGAAACGTGATGTCTAGTTTTTTACGACAAAAAATTGATGAAACCAGCACGTCTCAATAGTTCAATCTGTGATGAATTTAAAGTTATACCTACCTACTGAAAGCACTGGGCTCAGAAAAAAGGTTAATAAAAAGGTGCCTACACAAAAAGTATCAGGGGTAGCTAAATTTAATCAACACTGCCTTTCTTAAAATGGTTTTCGTTATAACAATGCTTTCGACATAATAAACAATTTCTGAATACAGGTGTAAAGTCGGTTTACTGACGATAGTTGAACGTGACAACGTCATACGAAAATAGTGATAGAATGGTTTCATTTTTCAAAAGAAAATTTTAATTTTATTTGTTTGATAGATATTTTGTATGGATATAGAGAAGGAGGTAAATGGAAATGTATTATTGTATAGCAGCTGTCCACGCGGACGCATCGCTCACTCAAGTAGAAGAGAGACAGATGTCGAACGCTGCCGAACGCGGAGGCCGATTGTGCCTCTTTGTCGTTCGTTCCGCGCTCTCGCTTCCACTTCAAGCCTTAAATGGGACGCCTCAGAGCGAGGTAACGCCGCATGAGTCATGTTTTTTCGTGCGTGTAGCCGGCTCCATCGAATTATAAGACGTTGTCACGTCAAAACAGATGTAGGAGTTTTTTGTTCGGTTGCGATATACCAAACGAACTGCAAATAATTGATTTTATTGAATTAACGCAATAATTAAGAGATAATAAATGTATTCTGATAGTTGCTTTGTTCACTTGATACTGATATGATTTCTTGTTTCAGATGAGATTTGCTGTATTCATCATTACTGTGAATCTACTTTCAAAACTTTCCTCGGCTCGAGAAGTACATATAACGGTAAGATTATTAAATTAGGTATTATTATCCGAAAAAATTAATCTCACTCTACCAATAGTTACCTATCATAAGATGAAAGAAAAGAAAATTAATTCCAGAAATTATAACGAAGCATTGCTCTTTTTATAGGAATTATAATTTAGCGATATTCCAAGAAAATGATCATGACGCGATTAGAAATGAAAATTACTTTCTACATACGAGGTCTATTCAAAAAGTATCTCGAATTTTGAATTTTCGCGGGTTACGTATATTCGATTTTCGATTCTTTTGTGGCTTTATCTTGGCACTCGTGTGTCTCACTTATACGGACAAGTTCGACCATGTTGAATGTTCAGTTAATTTTTGATAGCTGCTTTGTTTACACGTGTTTTGGCTCGTCTTCGATTTTTGCCTATTCCAAAAAATGGATCAAAGAATCTGTATCAAATTTTGTGTGTAAAACAAAATTAAGTGCGCGGACTCATTCCGAATGTTGGCTGCGACATATAGTGAAGCTACCTATAACCGAAGTAACGTTCATCGGTGGTAGAAAATATTCTCAGAGAGCTAAGAAGATGTGAACGACGAAGAACGTGCCGGACGCCTGAGCACGACAACAACAGACGAAAACATTGACGAAGTCAAGAAAATAGTATTGGCCAATCGTCGAATCACCGTTAGAGAAGTTGCTGAGGACCTAAACATATCAATTGACTACTGCCCTTCGATTTTTACCAATGATTTGGGCACGAGAAAAGGGCATTCGATAGGGTATTAAAATTAAAATCGCGTTTTTAATCTTATCTTAATGATTGGTAAATGGGAATGATATCTAACTCACGATTAAAACAGAAATACAGCGTAGCACTTGCACGAATGAGTGAGAATATAAAGGCTACACGGTTATCTCATGCGAGCTAAGGGCGCCTTAGTTTTACCCCTACTCCGCGGCCGGCTATAATGTGACATGCGATAGATGGACGAAAAAATTTGAGGCAATGTAATAATAGTTTCATTTTAAATGTATTGCTATAATTTTTGACCGCTACCTTGATAGAAAAACATTAAATATAAGTATTATGAGCTGTCCATGAACCACAGTTCTTCTTTATTATGTATTTGCACCAATTAACGAAAAAAGAATTGAATCAGCCTAATATATAGGGACAATTGAAAAGTCCCCGGCCTGACACATAGATGGCGGCACCAGAACTAAATCCATATGATTTTCAGTTAGTCCTAACCTTCAAAAGACGCGTCTATAAATTTGACGGCTGTCGGATCATTAGTTTGTGAATTATAGCATTTTTAGTGAAGCAACTTTTGTTATTGTAAAAAAAATGGATAAAAAGGAATTTCGCGTGTTGATAAAATATTGCTTTTTGAAGGGAAAAAATACAGT